AAAGGAAAAAATAAAATCTTTAAAAAAAAAATTTTTTTTTAATTAAAAAAAGAAAAAAAAAATACTATCAAATCTAATACTAGAATATGTTAAAAGGATCATACACCATGATCAAGTGGGATTTATTCCAGTGATGCAGGGATGGTTCAACATCTGCAAATCAATCAACATGATACACCACATTAACAAAATGAAGAATAAAAATCACAACATCATTTCAATAGATGCAGAGAAAGCATTTGACAAGATATAGCATCCATTTATGATAAAAAAAAAAACTCTGAATAAAACAGGTATGGAAGGAAACCCTCAACATAATAAAGGCCATATGTGACAAACCCACAGCTAATGTCATTGTCAATAGAGAAAAACTCAAAGCTATCCCTCTAAGAACAGGAACCAGACAAGGATGTCCACTTCCACCACTCTTATTTAACATATTATTGAAAGTCTTAGAGCAATCACTCAAGAAAAAGAAATAAAAGGGATCCAAATTGGAAAGGAAGAATTGAAATTGTCACTATTTGTGGATCACATGATTTTATATATAGGAAACCCTAAAGAATCCATGAAGAAACTTCTAGAAATAGTAAATGAATATGGTAAAGTTGCAGGATACAGAATCAACACACAAAAGTCAGTTGCGTTTCTATACACTAACAACGAAGTAGCAGAAAGAGAAATTAAGAATACAATCCCATTTACAATTGCAACAAAAAGAATAAAATACCTAGGAATAAACTTAACCAAAGAGGTGAGAGATCTGTACACTGAAAACTATAAAATGTTGTTGAAAGAAATTGAAGACAACACAAAGAAATGGAAAGATAGTCCATGTTCTTGGATTGGAAGAATTAACACAGTTAAAATAGCCATACTCCCTAAAGTTATCTACAGATTCAATGCAATCCATATCAAAGTACCAACAACATTTGTCACAGAAACAGAGCAAAGAATCCAAGAATTTATATGGGACAACAAAAGACCCTGAATAGCCAAAGCAATCCTGAGAAAAAAGAAGAAAGCTGGAGGTATGACACTCCCTGATTTCAAAATATACTACAAAGCTATTGTAACAGAACCGCATGGTACTGGCACAAAAACAGACACACTGATCAATGGAACAGACTCGAGAGCCCAGAAATAAACCCACACATCTATGGACAGTTAATTTTTGACAAGGGAGCCAAGAACATACAATGGAGAAAACAAAGTCTCTTCAATAAATGTTGAGAAAACTGGACAGCCACATGCAAAAGAATGAAAATAGACTATTATCTTACTCAAGACACAAAAATTAACTCAAAATGGATTAAAGACTTGAATGTAAGACCTGAAACAATTAAACTTCTAGAAGAAAACATAAGCAATATGCTATTCGACATTGGTCTTAGAAGCACATTTTCAAGTACCATGTCTGACCGGGCAAGGGAAACAATAGGAAAAATAAACAAATGAGACTACATCAAACTAAAATGCTTCTGTGCAGAAAAGGAAACCATCACCAAAACAAAAACGCAACCTAACAACTGGGAGAAGATATTTGCCAACCACATATCTGATGAGGGGTTAACATCCAAAATAAATAAAGAACTCATACATTTCAACAACAAAAAAACTAACAAATCAATCAAAAAATATGCAAAAGATCTGAATAGATATTTCTCCAAAGAAGATATGCAGATGGCCAACAGACGCATGAAAAAACACTCAACTTCATTAACTATCATGAAAATGCAAATCAAAATTACCATGAGATATCACCTCACTCCCACCAGAATGGCTATAATTAAGAGGACAGTAAACAAGTGTTGGAGAGGATGTGGAGTAAAGAGAATTCTAATACACTGCTGGTGGGAGTGCAAATGGGTGCAGCCACTATTAAAAACAGTATGGAGAGTCCTCAAAAAATTAAGAATAGAACTACTATATGATCCAGCTACTCCACTGCTGGGTATTTATCCAAAGAACATGAAAACACGAATGCATAAAGATATATACACCTCTATGTTCATTGCAGTATTATTCCCAATAGGCAAGACTTGGAAGCAACCTAGGTGCTTGTCAAGAGATGAATGGATAAAGAAGAAGTGGTATATATACACAATGGACTACTACTCAGCCATAAGAAATGATGAAATCTGGCCATTTGTGACAACATGGAAGGACCTTGAGGGTATTATGCCAAGCGAAATAAGTCAGAGAGACAAAGTCAAATACTGTATGATCTCACTCATAAGTAGATGATAAAAACAATAACAAACAGTCACATAGACACAGATATTGAATTGGTGGTTACCAGAGGGGAAGTGGGGAAAGAGGAGGATAAAAGGGGTGATTAGGCACATGTGTCTAGTGATGGATTCTAATTAGTCTTTGGGTGGTGAACATAACATAATCTATACAGAAACCGAAATATAATGACGTACACCTGAAATTTATATAATGTTATAAACCAATGTTACTGCATACAAAAAAAAAGATGGAGAAACAGGTAGAGGGACAGTTATAAGGCAAGATGATAGGTGTTAAAGTAGAGATATGTGCTGAGTGTTTGGGAAATACATAGTAAGGGCAGTCAGCCAAGACTTTGAAGAAGGTGATGGTCAGGGAAGGCAGGGGTAGTACCTTACAATAATCCTGAAGAGCATGAGGTAGTTGGAAAATGGTAAGAGAAGAAGAGAGAATTTCAGTCAGAATGACTAACCCAGAGAAAAGGGAAAGCATGACACAAAAATCAGTGGAATGACAGGTTGTTCAGAATGTCTAGTAATAGACCGCATGGTGGAGTAGAGTAGAGGAGAGATGAGAAGTGTGGCTGGCTGGTGAGGGGAAGTAGACTGAGATCATGAAGAGCCTTGTATTCAATACTAGAGAGTTCATGTCATGTCTCCTTATGTTATGTCAAGGATCTCTACTCCTTTGAAGAGATTTAAGCAAGGAATGGCGTGACTGGATTTGACTGTAAGTAGAACCCTTCTGGCCAATATGGAAACAAGTTAGGAAGATATGCAGTAGTTCAGGTGAGACATGATAAAGGCTTGAGTGTAGGCAGTGGAGATGGAGAAAAGGGATGAATTAAAATGGTGTTAATTAGAAAGAGTCTCCAGGCTTCAAACATTGACAGGGTTGCAAATTTTCTTTGAACATGTCCTTATGTCAGCAGCCTCCCTGAGTTGCATTTACTCTTCCCTTTGGCTCTGGCTTTCAGGTCTAATAAGCAGCAGCGGACTCACCTCTGTCTGATGGCCTGCTCCAGCACCTCACAGATTGACCAGCCTCTCTATTCAAACACACTGAAAATAATTTTTGCTTGCTCTTGGTTTCATGAGAATTGAGTGTCACTCTTGCCTCTTAGTTTCTCCAGTTAGATCCAGACCAAATTCCGTAGTCCCAAAAGAAAACTGCAGCTAATTTCAGGTTCACAACCCATCGCTATCCTCTTCCACTTTTCATTATTGCCTTTCTTATCTTCTCATTGCTTCAAAGAGCACTCATGACAAATATGGATGTTTGTACTCAATTCCATCTCTTCCTTGACTGTTTTTGCCCAATCAAGATCAAAGTCTACTTTGGTTGCCAAGGGGAACCATGCTATTAGTTATCTATTTACCTGTCTTTGAGGGTCACCACCAGTGTGAAAGTTACTTTGCATAAAAATAAACAAACAAACAAACAAAAAACCTTCAAGAGGAAGTAAAAAAAACAGCCACTAACTAAAAGCTTTCTTTCCCTCTAAAGGAAATTCTCTTCATCTCAGAGATATAAGAAAGTTGCTATGATGATGGCTTCCAAAACATTATGTATGAACATGCAAAGCAAGTTTCACTAAGTTGTCCCCTAAACTTGAAATTACTCCTGACATACACATTCTATTGCATTATATTATTTCTCCATAAGAAATTTGTTTTATCTTAGAAACACAAGCAACATTGTATAAAATTATAGACCCACAGATCTTTGTAGAAAACAGAGCACAAAGTATAGCATATTTTATTTAATGTTTCTACTGTGATTGCATGTTTCACCTACACTTATGAATGAGCTCCTGACTTGCATGCAGAGATCCTGTCGAAGGCTTTCATGAATTAAGTAAATCTATTAAAGTGAGTTAAATTTAAAACATCATCTAGTAAGCAATCCATTCAAAGGGGTCTTGCAACCAAGAGAATTAGAACTTGAACTGCTCATAAAAACAAATGGTCATCTCTGCTTATTTCTTCAATGTCAACACCAATTTTACTATCCCAATGATTATTTTGGCTTTGTTGTTTTGTTTATTCACTCCCTGAATTAAGTTTTCTGCATATACAAGTACATGTACAGTTAAGAGAAGTTCTGGCATGTTTATCTAGATAAGTTGTACAATACACTATTGTATCAATTATTTGTTTATTACAGGCAAAAACTGCTCCAGGACCTTGATTAAACTATTCATTGCTTTACACTCCGTTAAATTTCATGGATGTAAACAGAACCCACAATAATATACCGTAAAAGCAGAATCCACATATATAATTTGCTTTTTGCCCTGCACTAGTAAAATTTTAAAATGTCAAATTGCTTATAAGGTAATGGTAAAAGACGATGATATAGGTTAGATCTGCCTTTGATGTTTTGTTTTATTTTGTATATATCAGTAGTGACTGCTTTTAACTTTGTTGAGATTCTGGCTGACAAAACACCAGAAACTTTGCCACTAACTACTCCAGGGTAGTTGGTGGACATGTTGCCATTTATGACTACAAAGATTATAAAGCTGTAATAGAGAGGAGCTTCATAGCTATAGTATGGTTCACATCTTTCATCCATTTCACACATATTAATTGAGTATATATTACTCGCCAGGCATAGGCACAGAGGGTACGTAATGGCGGGGAGGGGTTTAGGGAGGGGAGAGACCTGATAGAATTTCCTGTCTTTCTGGAACTAACATTCTCCTTGGAAGGTTCAGTAGTTCATCACTTATATGAAACTAAGGAGTGAAAGGCACATCCTACCTGTGAGCTGTCGCCGTCTACTCCGGGTTGTTTCACAATTTGCAGAGCAAGGTGTAAACTTGGACCAAGCAGTGAAGGTGCAGTCATCTCGACACGGGACCGTGCATTCTTGCACAAGGGGAGGCATGCCATTTGTCTGCTTGAGACACTCTGTCATTTCTGCTGACTGGATCTCATCAGAGATGCATGAGACAGCTAAAAAAAAGAAAAGCATGGATTCTTTTATTATCTTGATTAAATCAGCCTGCTGCTGGTTCTACGACAAAATAGCAGAATCCCCCAATGTTTGAAAATTTGGTTATCATTGTGATTGCAAAAGGTGTTCAACATAGCTAACCTTATTTCTCCTGCAAATTAAATGTTTATTGTTGCCAGTGGAGGTTTTTGAAGATCTAATTGGGTTCATTATTAATCCAAACCCTGCATTGACGGCCACCAAAATAATTCTCAGTAATTTATTGTACATTCTGCTTGTGAGCATCTGATTTCTAGGGATGATATAAAACTAGGAAAGAGAATCTGTAAGAGAGTCATATGAGGACAAAAAAAGACAAAACCATAAAAATCATATGAACTCTACCTAGATTTGAATTGTTTGTTTGCTTGTTTAAATGGCACATATGGAAGAGGTCCTATTTTCACTTCCCAGTCAGTATTTAAAAAGGAATTTCTGTTGTCTATCAGTAAATCTTTTTCTTCTTATCAACATTTTAGGATCAGTTAAAATTTTTAAATCATCTTTTTCAAGTACAGGTATAATCTGTCCAGATAATTCTCATTACAAATATCCTATCAATTGCAGATAACTCTTCAAAGTTTCTCTCACATGCTTTTTCAACTAGAATGTCTCTGGTCATACCATAAAATAACTACCAATCTCGAGGTAAAACACTTATGAAATTTTACTTAATTTTGCATTTGGTTCTTTGGAATAATGGCTTTTTATTCAATTACCAATGAATGATATTTTTGTGCATCTTTTATTCACACTAATTATGGACTTTCTAAGGATGTGTCTTTATATTCTCTAGGCCAGTATTTCTCAACCTTGGTACTATTGACATTTTAGGTTGGATGCTTTCTGTGTTTGGGAACATGAATGAGTCTTGTGCATTGCAAGATATTTAGTAGCATCTTTGGCCTCCACCTATTAGATGCCACTAGCACACACACCCTTCCAGTTATGAAAGCCAAAAATGACTACAGACAATGCCAAATGTTGTCCCCAGTTGAAAACTACCCTTCTAAACTGATTCTGAACCATGGATGTCGATGAGAATACAGAGATTCCATGGCATGACCTCAGATCTACTGTGTCAATATGCCTGGGGGAGAAGTCTAGGAATATTTTTGTCTTTAAGTGTCCCAGGTGGTTCTGAACTAGCCTGTCCACTGACCACCCATACTTGGTGTGGATGCCTATGGAAATAGTGTTAACAGATATTTGCTGAGTTCATCATCCTTAAGAAATCATAGTTTAGGATCATTTTTATTACACCTCTTTAAAATCTACCAAGTTACAAGGAATAAAGAGACCACAGCTTAGGATCAACGTTGTTAAGAACTCGTTAAATCTCTCTAATACAGGGCAAGTACACATAGAGCCTTCTTTTAGTTGCCCATTCTTCTTACATTCTGAATTCCTTCCTTTATTTTGAGCACAACAGAGACCAAGTAAACCTGAAACCATATACATATATTTTAGCACTAGTGAAAGCCGAACCCATCTAATGTTTTTGGACCAAGGAATTAACTAAGATGAAAATGGATGTACACACAATATTTCTGAGTTTGTACATCTGCTCTGTGGCAAGAGGGATTATTCATCTATTTTGAATAGCTTTTGGTTTTGTTTTTATCCACATCCTAGGAACAAAATCCATCACACATCAAGCCAACATCATCTGCGTTTTCTTTGTTGGAAATATTACGGCCAATAGTAATGAATACACCAAGATACTTTATCTTAAATAGGGTACAAGCAAACATTATTTAAAGTGCCAATTCGGTGTCAGTTTAGCAAACTTTTAATTGTTTTCCAAGATTACAATGCACTAATAACATGAAGAGGAATTTTAAATACTTTTTAAAAGCACTGCTGTTTAAAATTTAAACCTCTATGTATATACAAATGAGATTTTTCCAATGAAATTAAATTAATTTTAAATATTCATATTCTATAATTTCTTTCAAGTAAGTTTAGAATTTGAAAGCTATGATGAATATTCAATGGTATTTTGAAGTTCTACAAAGTATCTAAATTAGAATACACTGGATTTACGAATATCTATATTGAGTTATTTTATATTAAAAAAGGGAAGCATTCAAAATTAAGAAATAATAGCTATACTATATGATGCAATTCACAGACATTCATGGCAAATGGTATGAATGCAAATTCCAACTCCAAACGTCCAGGAGTTATGTGAACTGAGATCAGTTATTGAAATTCTTTATGCTTTAGTCTCCTCATCTTTAAAATGAGTATCATAAGAGCACCTAGAACAAAGAGTTGTGACAATTCTTAAAACAGCATCTCACACACACTAAAGGGCTCAATAAATGCTATCAACTATTATTATCCTTTATGTTTGTTTCCAAATTTGTTTTAAAACAAGGAGGCTGATAGTTCTCCTAGGAAGTATACACGGACACACTCTCATTCTCCACAGCTCTTTCCTTCCTTGGTCATTTTCAGAATCTGAGGGACAAAGGTAAGAAGAAAACCGTGGTTGAATCTTCACCTGATTTCTGGTGCTACACTTAAAATCACCATTAATCAACCAATATATCAGGTACGTTCTAAGTGCATTCATTGTATTAACAGGGCTATGCAGAACGAATCAGATCCATCACTCCTCTACAAACTGAGGTAGTAGAGTAGTTCAACCAAGACGTTGGAGATTACTGAGGGCCACAGAGTACATTCAAAGTTGTAAGGTGAAGTTTGACAACACCACATTAATCTGAAGACCACTGCTCCATGTTACTACTGACAATCTATTAACCAAGGGTGAGAGGCAACTGACACATTACAGATCGCACGATGATCAATTTAGGCCAGGCATCATGCTCTTCAGATTTCTTCAAGCTCAAGATTCCAATTGCTTTTCAAGTATGAAAAGAAGCACTAGAAACAAAAACCTGAACAAGTTAAATAAAAATTTTCTTCTTGGGAATGTTCTAGTATAAAAGGAATCCTTTAATTAATAAACATTTGTTGAATGGCTGGTTATTGAATTATATTTGAGGGTAGGAAAATATTGGAGAAATAGCAAGCAAGAAGTCCGCAGGACTGGAAAACTAGCAAAAGAAAGACAACAGATATTCAAAGGAAATGAAAAGAGAAGACATTTGGAGTAAATGGGGATAACTAATATCTATAGGTACAACCAATTCAGAGGCTCCTTCCATTGAGTAACTCATAGTCAAAGGATATTCCTAAAAAATATTAATAAGTTTTAACCTACACTGGAATTCAGTGACCAATACTAAAGGTATAGACTCAAGTCAGAGAACTTCTTTCGAGGAATAAATCAGAGGTAATAACAACATGTACTGATAAAATTGTAGGCCTTGGTGTCAAAAAGAACTCCATTTTTTTTTTTTTTTACTGTTACCTTGGGCAAGTTATGTCAACTCTCTTAAGACTCAATTAGCTCATCCATACAATGAGAATGATAATAATACCTACATCATACGATAAATTCATGCAGACGAAGTGCTTAGTACAGTACTAAGCACTTGGTACATTAGTCCATGTGCCCTGAGAGTTACCTATTATTATGATGGAGGCTAATTGGAAATTAAATGTAACAAATAGTAGGAAAAGAAGAATCCACCACCACTTGTCTTGGTTTTTCGTTCAAGAAGAATTTTCCAAATCCCACCAAACCCTCTTGACCTCTAAGAAGTGTGACTGGAGCCTCCCTTGAATTATAATGTTCAGGTCAGTAGCCTCTTCCAAAGACTGCATGGTCCTCCCAAGGATACTGTCTGCTATTTTTCCAAGTGATGCTCTGTGCCTTCTGCTTACCGTCTACAGAAATGAGGCTTATAAGCTACCGGATGAGATCACAACTCCAAGAAAAGTCAGAAACTGAAATCTAAGTCCTGCTGGGACTTCTTTCCAGAAGCACCAAAACCAATATCCTTAATGCTTAAGAGTTTCATGAGAGGAGAGCGAACATTTGCAAAACAGGAGTGCTGGCCATATTTGCATCTTTATGCCTCACTTACCAAGGTGGCCATACCCCCAGAAACAGGTACCACATCTTTCCGTGTTAAAGTTGAATTCACAAGAATTTTAACACCTGAGGAAGATTTAGTTGCATGTATCAAACTTTTCTGACCATTAGAATCATTTGGGCTTCATTACTGATCAGAAGAGGCGTGCGTGGACACAAGTCAGAAAAAACATCTGATGCCCTAGGATCAGGAACAGACCTTGCTAAAGTCACTTTCTCTGCCTCCACGGTGGTCTGGCTGCTAGACTTTGCTTATTCGCCTGGATCTTTATTACCTACATCTTCTGTCCTAATAAATCTTCCTGAACTGCATCCATTCATTCACCCATTCACTTATTTGGTTGCAAAATATGTAAGGAACTATGAACAATTATAAAAGCCTTGTGTGTGTACACACATACACACATACATATAAATAATCAGGCTTCTGGGAGGCTACATTAGTGGCAGTGACAGGCAGGTAGACATATAGAAATACAAACCATCAGTTTCTCTGATGGTGATAACCAATGGGGAAACCCGGCATAGAAGGGAAAAGTGGGTGCTTCAGTCTTGAAGGGAAAGGATGTGTAATGGGCAGGCAGGAAAAAAATAAGCCATTACAAAGAATTTATCTGCCAGACATCTGCTATTTAGTTGAACTCTGAGTCTTGGCTCCTTTGGATCATAGCAAATTACTTGCAGGCCATGATCTAGAGAAAATATTTCTCTTTTGGTGCTTTTAAGTATTTAAAGAGTACTGTGCTATACTAGTGGGAAAGGTCTTTCCATTAGGAAAGGGAGAGGCATTTACTACTGACCCTTCCTGTCATATATTTCCGCCTGAACTGAATTGTTTAAGAGTGGCAATTCAATATTTAATTATATTGTATTTATTAAACTTGAAATATTGTTGTCTTTACTGACGGAAAATTGCACTCCCAGGTAAAATTAGTTCAAATAGCTCCA